ACGTTGATTTTTACATAACAATCTGTCAAAATTCGAACTTTTAATAAAAACCGTTACCGAACAAGTTTCATATCTCTAATTTTAAAGTAATGAGACTTCTACAAATGGTTTCAGGATGTCAAATTTTTGGCCCGGAAGGTCCTGTTTCCATATACCCTCCCATTTGCTGGTCTCGGGTGTCAGCGCCGCAGGCCTAGCTATATGTGCACCAGGCGCGTCGCAGCGTTACAGTGTTTTGTGAGATATCGCGAAGCCTGTTACGCGAGACGTGGTCGGGCGTTTATATGACTTGTTAGAAGGGGATTAAACAGAAAAGTGAGGAGAGTACATTAAGTAATGTATTCAAAAACATGAAGCGAGTTCGTTTGCAAAGGTTGGTACCATTTTTAGAAGACACGAGTTCTTTCTACTCAGAATAGGGTATTCTGCTGGAAGCTAACCAGAACCTACAGAAGAAAAGTATGACTGCTCGATCTGTTTCCCTCTGCGCGCTCATTGGCTGCCCGCAACATCCAAGAAAATTGACATCTAATAAAGAATAAATGATACAACATTAAATTAGCAGAAAATTAATACTATGATAAAACTTACCATATCACACATATATTAAATATTACAGATTTTAAGCTCTGGACGACAAGCCAAAAAAGTGGCCGGCAATATAAAATTATTGTCGACCACGAAAATAAAAAGTGTTAAAGGAATGTTTTACTTAAGAACAGTTTAAAACTGGAGAATGGCTAGAGGTTATGGTTCACCTCTTTACACCTTTACATCGTATTTCCGACGAGGATTAACAAAATCATGACATTTCCTAATTTCTATAATTGGCTGAGCGATTAGCAAAGCCCATTACTCCACTGACCGAAAAAGTTTCATTCTGTTTGTGGGTTTGTTTGTTTGTGTGTTTGTTTGTCTGTCCGCACGATAACTCGAGAATGGATTGAGATAGCGATCAGGTAATTTAGGGGTCGTTTTGTACCATAAAAAGACAGATCGAGTTCGAAGATGAGCATTCTAGCTCAAAAAATTGGCTTTTTTAAAAAATCAAAAACTACAGGGCGCAAAATGAATTTTTATCAAAATATTTTTTTATGGGTTCCTAAGGGGTAACTTGTCAAAGTAGAGCCCTTCGGGCCAAAATTTCGTCCGTTTGGCTCCATCTTGTACCGTTTAGGTGCTAGGGGGTATTTCTTGACAAAAATGAGCCGAAAATGATCAAATGGTCGATTAAATCATTTAAAAGACTTCATTTCGAAAAATTGTATACACACTCCTATTACCCCGTCTCGGGTGTCAGCGCCGCAGGCCTAGCTATATGTGCGCCAGGCGCGTCGCAGCGTAACAGTGTTTCGTGAGATATCGCGAAGCCTGTTACGCGAGACGTGGTCTGGCGTACATATAGCTAGTTACTGTAACTTTGTTGGCTGAGCGATTAGCGAAGCCCATTACTCCACTGACCGGAAAAGTTTCATTCTGTTTGTCTGTTTGTTTGTTTGTCTGTTTGTATGTCTGTCCGCAGGATAACTCGAGAATGAATTGAGAGAGCGATCTGGGAATTTCAGGGTCGTTTTGTACCATAAAAAGACAGATCGAGTTCGAAAATGAGCATTCTAGCTCAAAAATTGGCTTTATAAAAAATCAAAAACTACAGGTCGCAAAATGTATTTTTATCAAATATTTTTTTATGCGTTCCTAAAGGGTAAACCGGCAAAGTAGAGCCCTTTGGGCGAAAATTTCGTCCGTTTGGCTCTATCTTGTACCGTTTAGATGCTTGGGGGCATTTCTTGACAAAAATGAGGAGAAAATGATCAAATGGTCGATTAAATCGTTAACAAAAA